AAAAAAATCTACAAAATTCCAAGAGTATAAATTCCGTACTTTCTTAAATTAATTTCTTAAATTAATAATAATTCCGACGATAATCGTCAGTATATTTCGAAATATATAACTTGACACTAATTTTAATCCGCAAGAACACCATGAGAATTTCAACATGTGTCGACAATTCTTGAGACACTAAACTGAAGACGAAGAAAGTTCAACGAACCCGTTCCCGTGGCACGCCATCTCCTGCGATTCCTGACATTGAAAAAAAAAAAAAAAAAATTCGCCGGAATTTACGAGAAAGAGGTCCATATGTCCCCAAAAATCGGCGAAAATCCCCGAAAAATGCCACCCCCACCCCTGAAATAGTAGTAAAAGTAAAAATAAAGGGCGCCCCATCTTTAATTAATTGAAAGGGTTTTTAGGGGATTAGTTAGCGGTCTTACGAAACCGAAAATGAATTCGGTTTTACTTTTGGCCGGGACCATATAATACATTGAGTCCAAACGAATGTCTGTTGCCCCTTCAGCTTTCCTTTCCCCTCCGACTTGAAACGGGATTCTTGATATAACGGTTTGCGTTATATGCACCCATAGATATGCGACGTGCATTCGCCTCAATTGTATCATTTAATTTCCAGTAAGAATGCTTGAACACAGGAAAACTAAAGACCAATCAATATTTCATAAACCAATTAAATTTCATTGATTTTCCCTACAGAATAGATTCTCAATTTTATTCGACAGCAATTGCACTCAGTAATTTATACCGACCATTTTGTACAGTTGATCTCATTAATTAATCATTAATTAATCATTGTTAATTGGGATTGGAATGGAGGTGAGAGCTGCGTTGAAAAATCTCGTCGGTTGTTCGGGGAATTGGAGTCCTAGAAATAGATATTGAAAAATTTCCAAGTGTAATTACCAGTGCCCGGAAAATTGACAGAATACATCAATAAAATTGAATGAATGAGAATTAATCAGAATGACATAAGTAGAGTTTGTCGCTAATTCAGAACTAAAACTGGGGGTAGAGACCGAAAAGTGGGACAATGACCGGTAGAGACCTTCTTTCGAATCCACGACCTGCAGAAGAGGACGAATGGAGAAAGAAGGATCGACAATTCGCCAGCTAATTGTATCTGCTCATTTTCAATTCGATATTTTTGATTTTCTAATAAAAATACCGATAACCTCTGCCTCTACTACCGATTCCTGATCTAGACTCCAATTTAAATCGGGAATGGAGCGATTAAAAAATATTAATTATCCGAATTACCGATCTCGGTAAATCTCGAATGGCAAATGAATTGTCATGGTACTTTTGATGATTGAAATTATCTCGGTGCTTTGTTAATACGTAATCACCAGAGAGCCATGACTTTGAGAAGGCAACAAAAGATCAATGACCTATGGTGAACGTATCTGGGTTAGTAGTCGTCGCCGATTCACGTGAAAATTCTTTGCTACAGGTTTGCCCATCGAGATAACCAATGCTCTCGTATTTCCGTATAAATCCAGTAATTAATAATTCACCCTAATAATTTAAAATTTACCGATCCACTAATCGCCACTGCTCATTTATTCATGAACGAGTGAAACAGAATATGAAATATCCCACCTATCGCCATCACCCTCTCGATTCATTACTCCAAATATCATTACCCCGTAATTAAAAACAAATCTGAACGAGCAATTCTCTAATTTGCCACAACGAAATTGTTGTACTCTGCGTTTTACGGAAATACCTCGAAACTGGGGGAGATACCGAAATTTTTGTAATGACCTTTTTTGCAGGTCTCATCACGAGCTGCAAAAAAGGTAATTACAAAAATTCCGCTATCTCCATTAATTCAGGAGATATCGAGGATAAATTGTCTCGATTCGTTGAGTAGAGATTTAGGAAGTTTTCCGTTAAATAAATTGAACGATTCACTATTAATTGAAATAAATAATACACTTGACATCTGTTTTAACAAAAATCTTTAGGTTCATTAATTTCGACAATTTCAAGATCATCAGGCGTCGAATTAATTTTAATCATCTCTCCTTTATCTTAATTAATTGACTGTCTCCGTTCTGGAAATCGATATTTCCCGATGTTTTCGCTCTATTATTATTAAAAAAATATAAATTTATTGAATGATAATAGACGCTGGATGTTAATAAAAAGTACAATGGTATGGACAATGGTATGGACTGAATGAATTGAAGGACAGAGTTGGGTGGATGTTGGGTTAAGGGTGGGTTAAGGGTGGGTTAAGGGTGGGAGGGCGCCCCTGGCATAGTGTCGGTCGATCGAAAGCGCAGAGAAATGCACCACCGTGTGGTGTTATCCGATGCTGCCACCACCAGGCCAACACCAACGTAGTTGAGCCAAGCTGACTCGTGTTGGGCTAGGTCAGGTCTACCCGAGTTTTGCACTGTGCCATCCCGCGAATCGTCTCACCGTAACCACCACCTCCACCACCTCCAAAATTCAATAAAAAAAAATCATAACCACCCCGACAATCATCGTTAATTAAAAATTCATTCATCGATTTAATTAAAAAATACGCAGTGGTCATCGCAAATTATTCATCGAGTTGCAAGCTCTCCGAAATCTTCAATAATATCGAACCATCGGTGCGGGAGTGAAATTATTTTTTTGCGCAGAAAAAAATATTGTTTATTGAGGCGCATTGATGAATTTTTTGCTTTATTGATCTTTGAGTTGTCAGTGGGAAATTTTGGATTCGACAATTTTTTTGTGAATCAATTGCCGTGTATTTGTGTACATCGATGTACGAAGGACATGCGCGGAGGAAAAAGAGAAAGGGAACTCAAAAAATCTTGGATGAATGTTTTCCTCGTTCAATGTACTCGGTAAAAAAAAATTGCGCTTTCGCAACGGCAACACCCACACACCAAGTTATTCGTAATAATAGTAATATCAATAACATCGAACTCATTTGAAACAAGTAGTAATGATAATAGTTGCCGTAACAATTATCAAATGCATCATTCAGAGGAGCAACAGCAATAAACAATGTCACGACTTTTTACTTTATCGATTAAACATCGAAAGTGAATGAGCCCAACGGTAAAAAGTGTCTGATCTGATAAATAATAGTGCAATGTTGAGTAAAGTTTATAAATAAAAAACTGCATAAACCCCGAACCCATTGGGAGCCCCAATGTCTTGATAATCGATAAGGACTCTTAAAAATTTGTGAACCAACGCCGAAGAATAATTACCGCAAGGAGTGCCTGTAGCTCCCCGACTGATTAAAAATTCGTAAATGTGGAAAGACACCAGTGAATCATCACCAGAGCATTTCCAAACACTCCAGGACATCATATCCACTGTTCAAATAAATCGCCAACTGACCTCCGCAAAAATGATCGTCACAATTTCCTTGAAAAACTCCAGAATCACATAAATTCACTAAGAATCATGCCAAAAAAGTGATAAGAGAGAATAATCGATCAGACCTTATTCCACTTGTTTTCAAAATCCCCATTTCCATCAGAGTGCAATACCAGTGCAATAATATTGCAGTTCTAGCGCAGTAACCGCGCAATAATAGTGCAATAATAGTAAGAACTAATTACACATTCGCTAAATAATTATTTTCACAGATGAAAATCGATATTAAAAAATCCAAAAACAGTTCAAGGGATGAATAATGATGTTTAAAGTTAGGACCTTCGCTTTTAGCACCCCCTCCCCCCTCCCACCGCCCCCTGGCAAACCCCCTGCACCCCCTGCATTCTCCCTCTTGCATTTGCAGTCGATCAATGCGTGGACGGGTTTCACTTTCGTACTGCTAAAGCATGATCATATACCTATATATCCAGTGAAGACGAAATTTGCATTTTCCCTTCGACCGAGTGCACGTCCTTCATCCTCGCTATTTCACCTCCAATATTTTTCGCTTCATAAAATGTTTATTTATTGTTTAACTGATTTTTATGGTGCAGCACACCGAAGAAGAGATGGAGACGGGCGAGTGGGATCACACAATCCTGCGGGAAGAGGAATTCGACCAGCATGCGGTCTACCTGGTACCAGATGTATCCACTTCGTCGAATGACACCAACAGGGCAGAGGCTTCCTTGCCCAGGAACCTCGTCCTCAAGCCCTCACAAGCCCTCGATCCCGTACGTTATTTATTAAATAATCAATCATCGTTTATCCCGAATTTTCATCAATTGC